ATGACCACTATTTTTAATTGAAAAAAAAAGAAAGCAATTCAAAAAGAGCAAAAAAAATTAAAGATCGAAAACAATGCAAAACCATTAGTTAATTTTTGCGGTTTTAATTAAAAAATCCTGATCATTTATCAAGTGTCATGTCTATATTACCACTTGACTTGGGTGGGGCGGATGGGCGGTGGTCAAATCTTTTTTGGATCGGCAGCTCCCACGCCCAGTTAAACGACGCTTTAATTGCAATAAAAAACCAACAGAAACGCTGCTTACGGGAAACAACTTTCCGAAGAATAATGGGAAAATAATGCCTCTAATTATCATTAGTAAGTAATTTTAAAGACCTCGGGAAGAACCAACTATGACGTTCCAGAATCTCGCAAAGAGAAAACCTGCCGCCGAAAAAGAAAAAAAAATAAAAATGCTAAAACAATGATACAGAGGCAAGGGAGGTACTTCCTACTCCCACAAACGGTTGTCGTTAGTCAGAACTGAGACAGCAGCCGCAACAAGAGATACGTTGCCGCTGTGGCAGCAACGGCATCGGGAAAAATAGAAAGCCGGTGCGGCGAGAAAGCCAAAAAGAACTTAACACAATTTACACTCACGAACGCTTTTCCTACTTAAGCGTAAGACCTGGAAAATTATCTGCGGGTTCGAGTGAGTATCTGTGTGTGTGTGGAGATGACAACCGCAAGTGGGTGTGTGTTCGTTGCAGCTCCAATTGCGAATTATCACACAAATACACAAATGCCACCGACCGCGAAACTTGAAACGAGCTCACGTACGCACTTCCAATCTGGAAAAATATTAATAAACACTATTATTGCCTGCAATGATTTCGTTGTTATTCCGTCTGGATTGAGTCGATTCTCAAAAGCCCACGAAAGCCGTATCGAATAACGCGGATGTATAAATATTATGTCATTTGCATTAAGTGCATAAATCTTGAATTTGAAAACAATGTATGGTAAGCCAGCGGTTAAAATAAGATTAAATAAATTAAATAAAAACATTGTATTGTACCAATTGGTACCATCACATTTTTTGATGGTTCATGATTCGCGTTTTATTGTTTATTTTTCTTCAAGAGAAATAAACACACATCGTAATGGTATACGGTCTGTTGTAATATATTTGAATGCTCAAGGGTATATGTTAGTATTATTTTAGCGATTTCAATTGTACACTTTCTTTAATTTTACTTCATGTATATTTAATACTAATAAAATAACATTTATTTATCTCATCGTGGCATTTTAATATAATTTTAAAGTAAAGCAAAGAAGCCGGATCTACAGTATGTTTCTTAAGGTCGGGCCCCCAACCAAAGAAAAGTCTGGAGAAATCTCGGTTATGAACCGCTTAATGCGCTCAATTAACCTGCACAGCTCCAATTGCAGTTGCATTAACTATCAATTTTCTCTTTCATTGTTCTGCTCTGGGCCAGTCTTATAATTACAATCATTCTTGATGGTCGGTCGGTCACACATGCGTAGAGATGCGTTGCGCTTGAGTATCTAAGAGATACACACTCTGGTTGGCAATTAAGAGTGTGAATTTTAAGCCATAAAACTGTTGCAGCAGCTGGCCCGTTGCTCGCTGTCATTGTTGTAGTTGCTTGTATCCGATTTTTTCGGGTGAAAGTTTTGTTCTTTTAGATCTAAAGATGCTGTTTTTGCTATATGTAACACATTTTTCTCTGGCTCTAAGTCTCTGCCTTTTTTTTTTTGTGTGTCAGTTGGGTCTGAACAATTTCCTAGACATAATTAGCTCACTCGCATATCTTATCTTGGGGAATAGTTCACATGAGCTGGCTAAAATCTAATGAATCTACCTGTAGAAAGTTACCAATGTGTCTGCAACATAGCAGCAGCAGGAGAAGCGAACGTTGTCTGAGCAAACATCTTAATTTCACAATAATTGCGCAAATGAAATTGAAAAGCCTCGGAGAATGCTAGATGGTTAATGGTTACCAATTTAAGATACGGGCCCTGCGATTGCCAGCTTGCACAGAGAGAAAATTAGCCATTTATAATCTAAATGTTTAAATAATTTACCTAAACTAATAACTGGTAAGAGTTTTATATTCTCTACAATACTAGTCACATAGTATTGTTAAGAATAATAAGGACAAGTTTGGAAATTATAAAACTTTGTGATAATGTGACTAAATGCCATATGTCACTATTAGATGTATTTTAATTTTTTTTTAATGTTTAGCAAAATACAATTTGACAGATATTAGTTGTAAAGAATTTAATGTTTCTTCTTTTTTTTTTCTCAGTGCTCCCAACCTGAGTGACTGACTGACTCAGTGAGCTATCCGAAAGTGCAAACATTCAACACTGGTGGCACCAGCTGGACGACGATTGCCCCGCGGACAGGCGCAACCATCAGCGGATGGCGGAGTCGCGTTTGTTTCTATTTTTTTGTTTTTTTGGGGCGTGCGGTGGTGGCTGGGGCATTATTTGCATGGCCTGGCACACAATAGACAGAGTGGGAGAGCAGGTGAAAAGTGTCCGACAAAGAAAACAAACCTCGGATCTGTTGAATGGCGGCTGGTACCCGTACCAGTGCAATTTCATAATGGCGTCGTCAAGCCAAGATCGCTGACGACATTACAGTTAGCCGAGATGCATCTTGGCCCGATTGCCGGCCCAACTGCCTTATTTTCGGTGCCTGGGTTTCTTTTTTGTTTTGTTTTTTTGGGTTGCCTATCTGTTTGTCATGCCCTTTCCAAAAAGGTTGTCGCTGCCTTTTAGCAGCCATCACGTAGATCATACATTGGGCAATTTAAAAGCAATTTGAAAACCTTTGAACCCGCATTTGGCTGTGTCAAATTAAATTTGGTTAAGTTAATCAATATTTGTTTACATTAAATTGATCATTAGGCAATTCTAAAGCAATTTAAAACCTTTAAACCTGTATTTCAATACATTTTTATTATATTTTCAATTTTTTTTTATATTTTTCAATACCATTTTTTATTTTTTACTTTAACATACACGTATATTAAATAACGCAGAACAAAATTAATAATCAAGACATTTATGTTTTGAAACAACATACAGCTTTAAAAAATTTAAAATAATTATTAAAAATGGAAATCTTTATAATTTATTTAGTAAAAATATAGATTCTTAGTAAGAGTATTAAACTTTTTAAGATTTTTAGTAATAGTCTATCAATTTTTTTTCCCATTTCTGTTGTCTGACCAAAATATGATCAATTGTTACTTTCCGCCGCTGTTGCTATTGCTGTTGGTGTTATTGTTGCTGCTGCTGCCATAACTGTTGCAGTTGTTGTTGTGTCGGCCGATCTTTTCGAACAATAAGCAAATATTGTTCGCAAATGCGAAATAATAATAATGTTCAGCAACCAAAATTGAGCCATGTTACCGCATCGACAACAGTCGGCAGTTGTTGCTGTTGCTGGTGTTGCTGGTGTTGCTGCTGCTGCTGCCTGTTGCAAGTTGCAACAATAATTGAGCGCTTGGCTTGCTTTTGCTTTTTGTCTTATTTTGTAATTGCCATGCAGAAAGGAAACACAAACGGACAACTTCAATGCATTTGTAATTACATTTGATTGCGACAATTATTTAAAAATAAAAAATCACAAGCCAAAATTGGCCGGCAGCTAAAAATCGTCTGCTATGAAATGTAGCAGCTCCTTAAATGTATAAAAAAATGGTATTATTAAAAACACATCATTCTCAATCAGTGAAGAGCGAAAATGAAGTTTTGCTAACTATCAGAACCAAAAAAGTAAGACTTAATTAAGATTTGTTTTTGCCCTGGAAATGAGGTCATCATCATATCCGTAACGGCTGTCAATTTGTGTTGGCTTATGTCTGATGATGAGGTATACCCAGGTCTCAGTGTCATAAACTTTTTGCCATTCGGTGGCATTGGCCCAAAAGACCCCGCTGGCAACACGCCACAAAACGGCGGTGAGGTATTATTTATTAAAAGGGAAATTCTGCCACTGGCCAGTCGTTAAGAAATGAGTAATAAAAGTGTTTCCTTTTTTAACGACAATCGAATAGACATTGCAAGTCACTTTTAAGTTAATTAAACCAAAACGAAAAATAAAATAAGGAATATTTTCAAATGTTATAGTATCTAATGGCAGAGAAAGGGTTTACGTTTACTGCTTGGGGCTTAATTGAAAATGTTTACTTACAAGATTTCGCTGGTTTAAAAAAATTAGATATTTTGCAGTATTAATAACGTCATAAGGTCATAATCTCGATTGAGTTAAATCTCAATAGTTTTATTGTAAGAACGTTACTCAACCAACCCAATTTGATTAAAGTAATAAATAATCGCAAACAATTATTCATACCGATTGACACGGAACCAATGGTAAATTACATATTCATAGCAAGTGACTTAGAAAACTCTTTACGACGCTCTATTTTTGTGGCTGGAAGTATCTATTTCAGTCTAGCCGAAATGCCTACGCGTATTGTCAAAAATGTGCCAAAAAAAAATCAAAATATTCAAAAGTAAAACCATTCAAGCAAACCTATTCAAATGTTTATGTGACTTTAATTACGTGACAGCGCACTTGGAACGAAACAACATTGAAATGCTATTAAATATGTATGCAGTTATGGCCGCAGCACAGACACAAGTGTAAGCGATTGACACAGATACTCGCACCCTGAGATACACAGATACGTCCACCGATTGTCGGATAGTCGGAGAAATAGAGAGGGCGCTCTAAACATCCAAACATGGACACACTAGCGAACCATAACCAAAAACCAAGTTTCGGCGAAGGTGACGCAATTTACAAATAGTTGCGAGCGAAAAATTTGTATTTGCACACAAAATTCTACAAATACAAATAACATTCGCCCGGTGGCCGTAGCGGCAGTAGCTAACAGTATCTTTTGGATACATATTTGCCAAGTAAAGAGGAAAGCGTCTACACCGAGAAAAAATCGCTTTCATTTTAATAAAGTATTAAAATAATCCTAAGCTAAATTAAGAAAAAGACAAGGGTGGCTTTTGTTTTTATTAAACAATTAAAACACATTTCTTGTAATATTTTTAAAAGCTTTGTAAACGACCTTATATTTTAGGCGTCTTCATAACTAAAAATTGTCAATGTGCTATAAATAAATAAAAAATTATAAAAAATATCCAATAGATACTTTCACATTTAACTAACTTTTAGCTCTTGTGAAATTTTAATCCGTTAATCCTTAATTCGTTTAATTTTCCCAAAATTAAATGAGAGGTTATTTTATCTCTATGTAGCGAAAAAAAAGCATTTACAAAGGCCTGGAAAAGTAAGCTCGGTCTGCCGTTCATGTGTCCGTCATCGGTTTGATTCGCATCGAATCGCATTGAATCGCATGTGGCAAGGTGTAATTTACCCTTCAATCAATGCGCAGCAAATCAGTTGGCAATGTGCTGTGCGCAGGCGCACCTCGATGGATCCCCTCGGCTCGTGCCGCGCCCCTTCTCTTTTCGTATCAGTTGGCAGCACATTTGGGTTAACAATTGGTTAACTGTATACCGGCCATATCGGGGCTTGTGGCTATATTTATATATACAAGTTTGTGTGTGCCGAATGACTAACTGGGCGCAAGGTGCTTTTTATACTCTGTTTAAAAAGCATTAAAAACTAGTGTGGAAGTGGGCAATGCAAGAGGAAAGCCAACAACCAATGATACTATTTGGTATTTATGTATGTGTACAACATAAGTGAGTAATCGAATTTTTATGAAGTAGTTTCTGCCATATTAAATCGATAAACATTTAAATAAATTTTATGGTAGTTTATTCCAAAGCTGTGCAACATGAAATATGTTACCAAATAAGCTATACTAAATTAAATGCTTATATTTTAAAACATTAAGATTAAACCTTATAATAAGTCAACTCACTTCCTACAACAGTATAGTTTATAAAACTCCTACTGACTCCAAACAAACTTAATTTTTTTTAATTAATAACTTAATTTCAGGCTGTTGCCACATCAAAACGAATGATTAATTGATTTACTTTTTTGGGATTAATTGAAAATAAATTAATTTTTTAATTGTTAAAAACATTTACTTATATTTCCTCATTCCCTCACTTTTAGACCACATTTTTTACGTTAACTGTTTGGCTTGTTTTAACGCAAAGAGTTAACCAAAACACAGAAAAGGAGAAAAAAGCAGACAATGAGATGTTGATCATGTTGTAGTTGGCAGGTTAACAAGCAACCCGAGCAGCCTTAGGTGTGTATTTATGTTGAAAATATCTACGGCGAATTGGTGCTTCCTTAATTTACCATGTTAATTGCTCAAATTAACACGCAGATAAATCGAGAGACAAGTCAACAAACCCGGCCGTCGAGTCAACAACTTGGTTGCGCTTCAAGGCAGCCAAGGAAAACGTTTCCTTTTGGCCAATAGCGATGACGGCCAAACAATGCGTTCAGTTTGGACAAACATTTGCAGCAAACCATTTTTATTCCCATTCCAACTTCCCACGTAGCGCGGCAGGTAGCCGCAAAAACTTGTAGAACGTGCTGGTAAAAATGGTAAAAATGGTAAAAATAGCAATGCCAGTTGCATCAACAAATTTTCAAGTTTAAATCTAAATGTGGCAGTAAATCGTGCCCGGCCGGCAACGGAGATGAAGACACTGCCAAGTCCAAGCTTCAAGAAAGCCCGGCTCTTAGAAATTAGAAGCGTGCTGAGGGCAGACTGTCTGGGTTTGGTAATCATCGCTGTAATCAGTTTTCTGAATGGGGTCACTTTGGTCGAATAATGAACCGAATTTCCACAAAATGTTTGTCACACTTTTTGACATTTGCACGACTTGCTTGTCTGAAGAAAAGAGTTCCCAAAATAAACGAAACGGGAATGAGAATTAAGACAGCGACTGCCATTCACTGGGCACGCAAGCTCAGCGAGCAAGCGCCAAATAAAATGCAGTTCGTCTTGCTCTGCTGTGCAATGCGGCGTATGCGCAATGTCTGTTGACAAGGGAGCTTGATTTTAATTTACGTTGCTTTGGTGAAATCGGGTCGTTAATTTAAAACTGTCAAAGTCCTAAAATAATGTAGTTATTAATCCGAAAATACTTGCCATTGCAGTTTTTCAGCTTAGTCAGTTTATAAAAATAAGTTAAAATTGTATATCTATAAAAATCATCAAATCATGAGATAATAATTTTGTAATTTAAATATATGTACGTATTTTAAAGTTTTAAATAAATATATATAAATTTTAATATACCAAATCAAACAAATACATAATTTGTTATAGAGGAAGAGGAATCGCACAAAATCGTTTTAACTTATTAATAGCAAAAAGTTTTTGATTTTGCTCTCGATTAACCAGAATTTGAAACTTTAATCAATGAATTTTTTGCAAGCAAAATAACATATTGACTTTTAAACTTAAGAGTTTGGAAAGTGGGGCGCGACTTTTGACGCACTTTGCAAAGTTCACAAGTGCTCGCAAGAGTTAAGTGTCGTCAAATCGGCAAGGAGTAAAAACAAAGCGAGGGAACTATCTACAAAACGAAGAACGAGCAGACCGGCATTTGGCTGGTTGTTAAATTTAAAACTTTAATGTCATGCACGAAAGAAAATGTGTGGAAAATGCATCTGCCTGGCCACCACATGGCAACACCACATACATACTATATAGCACGAAATCATCGTCAGCTTGTTGAAAATAAAGGGGGAAAATGAAAAAAAAAATTAAAACGGCAGCGCGAAAATATCTCAAAACAAACAGATGCAGATGCGGTGAAAAGCGGGAGGAAAAGCCGAGGAAAGTGCACGTAAACAGAGATAGGCAAAAGCAGCTGAACAGAGAAGAAAATGAAAATAAAAGAAACAATATTTCCGCATTCCTCGCTGCAAGCAACCGGGCAAACATATTTGACAAAAATTCGCTGCACCGATGAGATACAGCTTTCTGGGTAACTCGCTCATCTAACCCAAATTCGTTTTGTGTTTTATTTTTGAAAATGGCCAAATCAGCATCAGAGCGGCAAAAAGAAGTTTGGTTCCAGCGAATCTGCAACTCGTTTCGATTGGAAAGTGTTGCCAATTTGCTCAACGACAGCGCCGGAACGCAGGCGATGGTGACTTTAATTGTGCGCTTTATTAGCGCAATTTATGCCCCGACTTGGCTCAATGCTCCCATCGGGCCAGCGGCTCGTGCTCTGCACCTCGACTCCATTTAGTTTGGCTCCACTCCACTCCACTCCACTCTACTCTACTCTACTCCAATCCACTCGAGCCGACTCTTGATTATTATTTTTTCTCAGTCATTGCAATTTCGTCTTATTTACGGCAATTACGCTCTAAATTCAATTGTTACGAAATTATGATGATTTATACAGTCCGACTCCCGGCATCTACGTGTGCCCGAGCGATATCCGTGAAACTTTTCAATCCACCCATGGATCGGATCAGCGCCATAGAAAGTAGAACAGGGCACAAGAGTGAGAAAAGTCAAGCGAACAATGGCAAGGCAATGACAAAAAAAAGCACACGAGCACAAAAGCAAGCCGAAAATGAAAACTGAAATTGAACAATCAACCAAAAGTTAAACTATAAAGTACATATCCATTATTCAACAAATCAGTGTATAAATTATTTCTATGACAAATCATTCATTAACCAAAATACACCAAAATGCAAAGGAATGTAAAGCAAAGGATTTAGATAAAAAACTTATATTGATTGAACGTTTTTTAACAATACTTTCCACTTATTTAAAATCCAAATAGTTGAACAAAAATATACAGGAATATTTAAATATCCAAAAAAGAAAACCCATTAAACAGAAAAGTTAAGTCAAACATCATAAATCGGTACGCAGCAGTCGAATACATTTATTTTTAACGAGAAATCACATGACAATTGCAAGCGAGTTATTATAATATTATTATACGACTTAATTTGCAAATAAATCAAAAAATAAATTGAAGTATATATAAGCATATATTATCGGCACTGTGCCATTTCCCAGATACGGGGATAAGGGGGTGCGAACTTATGTATGTGAATTGTTGAATGTGCGAAATATCACAAGTCAGAAATACAAAGACTACGACTCGGTCGTTAAACAACCGAACAAAGTGCAAATAACGGGCTTTTTATTTAACTTTTTCAGGACCTCAAGGTTGAAACTTGCCTACTATGTCTTTACTGCACTCTATTATTCAAACAGCTGGGGCAAATGCATTTGCGTTCTAAGCAAACAAAACAATAACTGCGATGAGTTGGACAAATTGCGCAAATGAATGAATCAGTCTACTGAACCACAGTCAAAACAGAATGGAAAATTCGTTGTAAAAAGAGACTGATATGAGTACTAGGCACAACGCAACACACAACTGAGTATATGTATGAAACGTTTATTGGTTTCGGATGTTGTGATAAGGCGTATTGCAAATGAAAAAATAAGGTGTGTGAGGTGTTTGCTCGAACTAAAAACCTTTTTTTTTTATTTCTTCAAACTTGAAATAATGCTGATCACTGATTTTTCTCTATTGGTCTAAACTGTTAGGACTTGACAGATTCAATTTTCAATATTTTATTTTTATTCCTAAAAATTTTTCAAAATTCTGACTTACGCCGGAAACCTTTGCCAGAGGGCGACCCTCAGCGTTGTGTCTAAATGCCCTAGTTTCCTTTCGATCCTTGGATTCCGCTGCTATGCCGGTGATGGAAAAAAGAAAGTGGTAAGTCGAAATTTATTTAATTAATCAATCACTGGTCAAACCAAGCTCCGCTAGGAACCGCCGAAGTTTCGGCTGGACTGTGGGCCCTTTGCTTCCCAACTGGACTACCAATCTGGGCTGCAGTTTCAAGCCGCACCTCAAAGGTTGCATCTCAGCGGCATTATGTCCACCATTGGACAATCATCCAATTGTCCTGAGGTCCTTCTGGAGCTCATACATGCAGGCATGCGGCTGATCCGCATGAACTTCTCTCACGGCACCCACGAATACCATTGCTGGACAATCCAAGCGGCTCGCAAGGCCATTGCCATGTATGTGGAGGAAACGGGTCTGCCCAGTAATGATTGTCCTAAGAAAAAATGCTTGCAGTTGAATAAAGAAAGACAAGCTAAAGCGGAAGCAGAGCAAAAACAGAAAGAACAGTCTAAACAGTCCTGTGAAGTTAAAATCAAGGACTGCCTTTTAAAGGACGTGGAAGACTGCAAGAAGCGGACTGAAAAGGTGTGTAAATAGTGAAGTTACGATTATTTTAATGTCAAGGGTAGAACTAGGGCTGTTAAAATCAATGCATAAATCAAAAGGCATAAAATGTATGTAAATACGAGTAATTCACTTTACAAAATCATTAGGTGGTCAAATTATATATATAATTTAAGTTTACAATCGAGTATGTTAACAAATCTCCACAGTATCCCTCAAACCGTTTCTCCAAAAAACCTTTCGCAATAAGAAATCGTTTTCAATTAGTTTTGCTCTCTATTTTTATGTCTGCTCTGTTTTTTATTTCCAGATAAAGCAATTAGCTATGAAAAGAAAACAAAAGTAAAAACTAAAAATTAAAGAGGAAAAAGAAAGGCAACCAATTGGGTTGAGAACTTAATTAGCTAACGTTTGGTTGAAACAAGTTAAGTTCGGTGTTTTTGTTTTTTAATTTAGCTGGAAAATTTAAATGGGCAAAGCTTTGGGGACAAATTTCACCGAACAAACAATCAGGGGGAAAAAAAGCTGAATCAAACAATAATATAAAAGAGCGAACAAAACGCAGCCAAAACAATTAAAAATGCCAACAGAGCAGTGCAAAAGTCAAACAAAGAAGGCAGAAACACAAACACACACCCACAAAGTACCCATACAATGTTTCACAGATATGAAGCGAGTGGAATACAATTATAATTGCTATATAGCGAACTGACTTAACGGGGGAAGTTAAACCGAAAAACCCGCATGGAAATGCCTGTAGTTGAATAATATGTATGTGACTATCAGAGGGGTGTGCTTTCAACCGAGTCAAGACCGTGCATAATCAATCCGAAATGAATGACACAAGTGAGTCCAGTAGAAGTCTGGAAAAAAATATAATAACAACCTCTTAAGATCTCTAAACAAAGTCCCAGCAGTTGGCTTGCATACGAATTACCGTCTCGTAACAATTAAAAATTAACTAGTAGTTAGCTATCTTCTTAATTAACAAGATAAATATAGTGAGGAGCGAAAGAGAGGCAGAAACGCTGTCTTGGTCATTTCGTAGCTTGTCTGTGTAATTAGCTAAGTAAACGCAGAAGGTTACAAATGGGGTGGGTTAAAATGAAGTGGGTAAAAAAAAGTGCAGTGCAAAAAATGCAGGCTGGAATTGGGGTGGTATGGGATGGTAAATTATTCTTGTTATGCAAGGTTAATACCGGAATGCGGGAGTATCAGAGGTGGATGAACTTAGAATATAAACCTTCACAGCAACTATTATTTGCTAGAATCGATTGCAGCCCAAAGGAAATTGTCTTTGAAAAAATAATTGCTAAGTCATACTATGATATAGTCAGTCTGAATGAGCCAAATGTGTTATTCATAAATTATTATTATTATCGAAGAAATACAAGGGATTTTCCATAAACAATATTCACAATATTTCATATTGATTGTTTACCCTTTCTTATATTTCTATACAATTTTAGAAACATATTTACTATACGTTTTTTTAACATTTATAAAAAACAATAATTCAAAAACAAAAATCCAGAAATATAATTATAAAATTGATCAAATTGACCAATTGAACACCATTTGCTAAAAAAAAAAAAAGCCTCTTAGAAATTTTGCCAAACTTAAGCTCTTATCGTATCATAGCAATGATCGGTTATAAAATCGGATTTAAAGTGATTTCGACTTCCGCTAGCAATTTGAGAAAACTGGTGTTTAAGGAATTCAATTTATTAAAGCGTATTTGGTTTATACAAACTAGATAGGCTTGAAGATACGCACCATTTATCTAGTTAAATCTCATTTAAAACGGGTCTCGGTAGAATGTGGGAATCGCTGTACACGCATGCCTGTTGGTTGGTTGTCCGAAAATGAAAATTGATTAATCCAAATGAAAGCGCTGCACCGTCTAAGTGGGTTTATTTAGGTTTAATTTACTGATATTTCGAATGTGAAATCATTTGATTTCTCTGATATGGTCACAAGTCACTTTTCATTTCTTTTTTTTTTTTTTTGCCAACACACGGAGATAAATATTTTTCGATTTTGCTATGGGGGAGCTACTTTCGGGTGGTTGCGTTAGAAATTTCACTTTTAGTGCCGGGGTTTCGTAATACCTGGCACTAAAACTTGATATTTTTTATTGATTTATTTAGTATGCAAAAACAGATCCGATCTGAGATTTTTTTTTTGTTTTGTGTGTGAGCGACTTAAGTTATTCGGAATCAAATATGTAGAACGCGATCGAAGCGCGTCTTCGCAGCACACAGATACAATTCACTGACACTCGCGTTGTGAATAAAGGTCGTGAAGTGATTCAGCTCCCCGAGATCAGATGACGCAGAATCTGCTCTTTGTTTGGGGCCCTTGAACACTCGCTTTAGTTGTGTATATATTTGCTTACAAAATATTGAAACACGTGTGCTAGGCAGAAGACTATGCGTGTATCTCGCAGTTGATACAATTTCAGTACTAGATACGACGAAAAAAATAATCCAACAAAGCGTTATCGCGTTGTACGCGGCTCTGCAATTGTTTGACAACTAAAGAAAAATACAGCCAGAGCGAGAGTCAAACAGCTGCTGAGTTTTGCTGAATAAGATACATTTACAGAGAGAGAAAATAAGGTGGAGAGAACGGCTGAGCAAGAGCGAGAATCGAGTGAAACTCTCTAGCGGCTAACTGCTAGCCCTGGCAGCTGCTAGCGCTTTATTGTCATGAGTCATGTGAGCGCTGAGTGAAAAACGCAAAAGAAACTTGGTGTTAGTTTGGTTTCCAGTAATGATTTGTTTACTAATTTTCAAAAAAATATAAACTTCCCTTATATTTTAGGTATACTAAAAAACTTTAGTAAGCTTTTTTTTTTTTAAACAATACGATTTCCTGTTAATTAAAATTTTGAGTGAGAAATTTGAATTCAGCCAGCTGAATAAAGAGTAGCCAGAAATGGAGAGTGAGCAAAACTCAGGGAAACAGAGTGCGTTCGTTAAGAGCATTTTCGTGTATCAATGCACAGACTGCATCTGCTGCATCATCTTCGTCTTTTTATTTTTGAGGATCCTATCATCGCAATAGTTATTTTTCTTTTAGACACACGCTTGTTTTTATTTGTTTACGCACTCTGTTTGTTCGGTGCGTTTAATTTCTAGGTAAACAATCGCCACTTAGGGCGCCCGCTTAGATGTAATCAATTACAGATAATTAAGACAGAACTCCACGAGGAGCACAAAAGAAATAAAGAAATCAAAAGAATGCAAGCGTGTAAAGTGTGGCAAAGGGTAATGCACTGGGCCAAAGACAGCAGCAACATCAGTCGGTCAGCAACAACAACTAAGAACGGATATTGATTACAGCGACTATATATTACCTGGTACTACGAAATTTATTATATTTTCTTTACTTTAAGTTTCACAACAAATTGTAGAATGAATGAATGCCATGCTTTGGAGTTTTTAAAAATTATTAGTTTTGAGTAGAGAAAGCTAACAGTTTTAAAGAGCATTTTAGTTTTCAAGATCAAACACTGGAAAATAATATAGCACTGCATTTATTATAGGTCTTATTATTTCTTTATTTTTATGTATTTTAGTTTTTAAGATTGAGATAATTTTTTTTTTATTTTAAAAGCTTTAAAGAATAACCTGTTTTTAAGAAACACCTTTTAAGCTTAGATTCTGTTACATATCACTGCTCGAATGCGGTATACACCCAGTAACTACGAACACCGGGTATTCCAACCGAGCAACTCATTAGTTTTTATTATGGTTGTTGCCATTGGTGTTGATGTTGCAGAGCCATATGAAGGAGAGGAAAAACCGCCATGGACAAGTACAGTAAAAGACCAAAGCGGGGAGACAACGCTCGAGTGACCCACTGTCCAAGTGGACGGCCTTTCTTATCTATCTTTACCTCCCTGCTCCCCTCTGGCTGCTTAATTGCTCGCCAAGGAGTCAAGACAGAAAAGCAGTCGCCAACTAATATTAAACTACATGGAACGTAGAAGACACTCCACTCCAGTGGGGGCGAGTGGGACACTTGAAGGGCACAACACACAAACACCAAGTTGCCATGGCACCACCGCAAAAGGTTTAATCAATGACCCGCTCGCGCTCTCAAAAGAAAAACAACTCGAGTTTGAGTTGGTTATTTATGGAAATTGATAAGACAAATCGTACTGGTAAACCTCTGGTTTTACGAGCTTTCATTTCCATACTCTTTTTAAGTGCCTTGCCATGGCTACCAAATCAAAACATAAAGCAAAACGTAATTATATTAACCACACGTATATGTTTTTATGAACAATAATAAAAGATATGCATAGTATACTTTATAAATTCATAAGGTCTATAATAAGTGTAACAAGTTCGTGCTGGGATAGTTTCCCATGCAAAAACTTTTTAAAAACGATTAGACAACTTGGAGATATAAAATTAATCACTGTGAAAACTGAACAGCAAGTTAAGACCAAATAAAAAGATGGAATAGAAATTTATTAACAAAAATATTACATTTTTTGTTATTTTATTCATAATTTTTTAAGGCAAATAATAATTGGATGGTAATTTTTTAATTATGCTAGTCTAAAACCAATACTGCAAGAATTAAACACTCAAAAATGTGTTGACAACGGAGAATATATTTAAATATTCAATAAGTATTGTTATAATATATTTGTCCAACCAATTCCTTTTTTTTCCAAAATAAATTTGTATTAACACCAGCAGAATATACAATTTTACTTTATTCCAAATAAATTCAATACAGTATTCATTGAAAATAAAACCTAATTAACTCTAGTTAATTTGAGTGTGGCTGAAAACTTGCACAATCATAGATTAAGGCTTTTGCCTCAATTATTAATTTAGCCCGTGTTTTTGTGTGTTGATGTCATAAGTTGATAACAGTTGTATTGTATAGCAAGCTAAATTATTGCTTATCAATTTTCCATGTATAGGTGTGAGAGGCCCTATAAAAGCATTTCAACTAACCCGACTCAATTCAGTTTGCTAATGTTAGCTGACTGAACAGTATTCCAGCACTCAATAAACAAATAATCTCAAAGGTGAGAAAAAAAGAGAGAGTGTCACATTGATGTGCAATTAAATTCATAAGCGATTTTTGTCTATTATAAACTGTGTATAGAAACTTAATTACAATATAACCCATTTCGGTCAAAGTTTTTGTGATTATCAGCTTTTGAAAATGAACAAGACAACAGAAAATTAAAAACAGTAAATATATTTTTAATTTTAGATGTCACACAAGGTTGAAGCTCTTCCCGATTCTTATGCCGCTCTGGGCGAGGGACCCCACTGGGATGTGGACCGCCAGAGTCTGTACTACGTGGACCTCGAATCAGCCGGTATTAATCGCTTCGATTACAAGCAGAACAAGGTGTACAAGGCAAAAATCGAAGGCGAGGTCTTTGCCTCCTTTATCCTGCCGATTGAGAACAGGCCGCAGGAGTTTGCCGTGGGTTGCACCCGGCGCACAGTCATCGTCCAATGGGACGGAGTCTCGGCGGTGGCCAAGGTGATGCGCACCCTATTCGAGGTCCAGCCGGATCACAAAGACAACCGAATGAATGATGCCAAGACCGACCCGAATGGACGTTTTTACGGCGGCACCATGGCCGACAAAGGCGAAATCTTTACCCAATGGAAGGGTGAACTCTATAGCTGGCAGGCCGGCGGTCAGCCAAAGGTCATAAGGGAGAAGGTGGGCATCTCCAATGGCCTGGCTTGGGATGTCAAGGCCAAGAAGTTCTACTTCATCGACACAAACAACCACGAAGTGCTGGCGTATGACTACAATCAAACTACCGGAGACATTAGCAATCCAAAGGTCATCTTCGATCTGCGCAAAATCCGTCCCGAGGGTCCATTGTTCCCCGATGGCATGACCGTGGATACAGACGGAAATATCTACGTGGCAACGTTCAACGGAGGCACCGTCTTCAAGGTTAATCCAAGGTGGGTTTATAGTCTCTTATTCAAAACTGAACATTTAAAAAACGTTTTTTTTTACTGCAGTACTGGCAAAATCCTATTGGAGATCAAAATTCCCACCACTCAAATCACCTCGGTGGCCTTTGGAGGTCCCAACTTGGATATTCTGTATGTGACGACCGCCAACAAGTTCGACCAGCCAAAACCAGCTGGAACCACCTACCAGGTCACTGGGCTCAATGCCAAAGGTTACCCCGGCGTCAACTTGAAGATCTAAATTACAGACTTCTTGTATAATATATTGTAGTTTAAATAAATGAGCACTAAGAGTGTAGTAGTAAAGTGACAACTATTTTGATTTTTTTTGTTTTGTGTAAATTATTAATTTCTAAACATGTGTAAAAAAGTTTTATTGGGTTCTTTTAAGAGCTGTTATCGTTTTCAAATAAAATACAAAGTATCAGGCAATTAAAAGTTTACAACCTTTAAAATTCAGCACTAAAAAAGAGAATCACTTAAAGATTTTATGATTTTGGGTAAAAATTAATACACAATTCTACAAAATATAGACTAAATCAATATTGATATAAGGTTTATTTCAGTTTTTAATTAAATATATAGAGAAACATAACGCAGTGTCGTAAATGATTTTGACATGACAGAAAAATAAATAGGAATATATTTATAAAACCAATAAATATATTTTTTGCCCTTGGGGGATGTGAAACAATCCTCCGGATCCAAGCGAGATAAGTGAGAACCACTTCACAAAATGAATGGTTTATTGTGAAATTGATATATAGCAAACGCCCTTGGTCTTTTTTTTTGTAGGGCAAACGGTTCCGATTAAATAGGAGTTGTGGTGGTTTTGTTACTGGAATCTACTGAAGTACCCTATAGTGACGTATTACTACTTAATTGGCAAAACATATACCAAGATATACAGGCGTAAGATAGTTTAGAGGGCTCGTACTTCACAACTTGCATTTGTTGGATGTTTACTGTTCTATGGAAGATTTTAGAGGCCTAATCTAATCTCGAATAATCTGCAAGTCACGGCAAATTTCTAATCACGTTTGCATTTTAAATAACATTGAAATTATAATTTTTTTGTAGCATTTTTCGTTTAAAATCCTCGTATAAACCGAAATAATGAATAAAAACCATTTGCCATAAAAAGTATTTTATCCGGCGAGGGAAATCATTCTTTCAAGCTAATATTTGTTTTATTTTATCTTATCGTTCCTTGCCTTTTTAGATAGCCAAATTACCCGTAATTAGTCATTCGGATGGGTTTTAAATGAAAACTATACTTATATGAATAATATGTCAATAAAATCAGCAAATGCCTTGCCAAATCAAAGCATTTTCAATAAACGACAATCAATCGCTTTAAATACAGTGTTCCCCTTAACAAATAAAATATGTGCTGCAATTGAAGGAGGGAACAATATTGATTGTAAGTGAAATGTAAACTGGGCCTGGAAAAAAGTTGTGGGATTCGAGAGGGTCTCCAGGGGCAAGTCCAATCAAAAATATATTTCTAGCGAAATGGGTATAAAGGGCGAGGGGAGATGAAGGATCGTTTCGACAATTGTTTGCGCTGCACCCAAAACAACTGTCTCACAATATATGGGTAATAAAAGATACATTTATCCAGATACAGATACAGTATCCATATGCGCATTGTTTGACAACACGAGAATGCCACACAGACGACTGATACAGATCCAGATACCGAGCACATATGGCAGCAATAAACATAAAGAAAAAGAAGAGATGGGGCTGCAAACTGAAAACTGGGGACTGGAACCTGCCACTTAAGCCGCAATCAGAAACAAAATTGATTTAAATTTGAAAATGTAAACAACACCCGACAAGGAGGGCACAAAAAAAGGGGCTGATCTAACAGCAATGCAGCGTAATTGTATTATAACAACAGAGGCTGAAAACTTCCAGTTCATGACCGACAGTAGTCACAGCGAGTCTGAAAAACAAATGGCTATTTAAATAGTTATTTACAGGTTTTGGGCACCTTGAATAAGCCCAATATTAATTATTGAAATATGTGGGAAAAATATTGTAAAAATTAGAATACCTATTTATTTTGATCGAGTCACACAAATATTTGAAATATTACTTAAAGGGTTCCTCAAGAACTAATTTTCTAAATTAAATTTATCAAATTTGAATAAGCTATTAAAAGTAGCACGATCCACTGTAATTTGAAAATATCTCCCACGAACATTCCTATCATTTCGAATTGGGCATGTCACCTACGATAGGGCCACACCCACTGGACATTTTTCGGAAAACCCACGCTAGAAAGCGCCATAAACCAGTAGAAAGTGTCAAACGATCTGATCGTCAATTCTTAAAAGAAAGCATGAGAAATTTGTAAAGAAAAATGTAAAATGCAGATTGAATCTCCATTTAATTCAATAATAAATGTAATATTGGAGGTATGTAAGTAATAAAAAAAAAGGTTTACAAGACATTACAACTATATGGTAATTAAATGATGTGAACAGTTTTTATGGACATGTCATTTTATCTATCGACCATATGACTAAAATTAACAATATTTTTAGTAATTTTTTACTATTATTGTTCATGCAATAGCTTTTGGACTTGTTGTACCTCACATACAATAATTGACAATAGAAAACCATTAGATTGCTAAGAGAAAAGTTAGGCCAGAAAAATACAGAAATTATTTAATTAGAGTTTTTTTCGTTTAGTACGGAAGTAAACAAAACAGGATGTATCCGGAGGTATCTACCGATGTTTTTCAGCCAGTACAAATTTGAATAGCTTTGGTAAAACCCGAGGCGAGGAGAAAAATTGTGGCAAACATTTTTCGGAAGCTTTGCTGGCTTTTGTTGTCTTCCTTTGCCGTCCGTTAATGAAGCTTATGAGCAGCGGCGCACAAGTAGCAACTCACTGAACTGCAACAAAAATAACAACCACAGGCACAAGTGAAGCGTTGCAGTGCGCGACAGAGAGAGAAGTCTGGGGCAGACAGAGAGAACAACAAAAGGAGAGCGCTTCGCCAGTCAATGGCTGCACCTGTAACCACCTGCCCATACCGCCCATACCGCCCATCCCGCCCCCTCTTGCCAACGAAAATGAGACAAAGCACAGTTACGCTCGGCTTTGGCGGTTGGCTCATTAATGTCTGACACGTTTGAGCGATCACCGCACTGCAGAAACTCGAAAAAGATACTGATATAAATACAGAAACAGCCCAAAAAAAAACGCAGAGTAAACATTTTATAAAAGTGGCTTTTGATTAACATTAACAACGCATTTTTAATGGAGATTTGATTCTGCATGCACCAATTTCCGAGAGGAACAAAAAAGGCAGGGTGCGATAAAGGCGGTAGCCAAGCAGAACTTTAAAAATTAAATACAGTAGTAATAGGTTACAAATTACAAAATTAAGGCAATATTTAGTAAGATTATTTAAACCAATTTGTATCTGTTGTAATCTTTTAACTAAAAGAATAGCTGCTGTGCAGTTTTTTTTTAGCATTACAAATTTTTTTCAATTTCTGTTTCCGCTTTTTCTTTTTTGTGGTAAGTTAAAAGTATATTTGAACTTTAAAATTCAATTCGTTTTCAAAAAAACGATGAATCTGTTTATTTTAGGTTAAACCAGAAATGGTGGTTCCCCTAGTCCAGTGTCTACTGTTTAAATATGCATTGGGCGAGAATTATAAATTCAGATATGGCACGACTCAACCGCAAGTGCAGCGGAAGTGATCCATTACGCAAGTTCAGAACGGAAAGAGCGGGTGCGATTTACTCGATAAAAAAAGAGATACAAAGAGGAGGAGGTAATATAGATAAAACTTGTAGGTGGTATAATAATTTTGACCAGAAACCCCGACTCTACAAAATATATCTGATAATTGGAATAAAAATAAAATCTTATAGCTTTCAAAATCCAATTTCGACCAAACCCTTTTATAGAAATAATTGATCCGCACTATGATAACTAAAAGTATTTTAAGATATTGTTATTAAACTTGGTATATAACTATTTCTTACATTTTAGATGTATGTAATAAATTAAGTAGAAATCGTATAACTAAAGGCTAAGCCCTACTCACCTTTTGACTGAATGCGGCTGCCTCCTTGGCCACGCCCACCCCGTCCGCCGAGTGGGCGTGTGTCGATGGCGAGGTCGCGTAAACGAAGAGGGGCAAAGAGCTAAAGTTCCGTTTATCCTGGAATCGGCGGCTGAAGAATAACGGCTTGTGGCATCCAGTTGCAGCGGCTAATATTGTTGTTTTTGTTTTGCTAGCTGCCACTGCTTCTTCTTTCCTGTGCGTTATTGATGTTGTTGTTGTTGTGGCTGCTGCATTTGATGTTAATGTTGTTGTTATTGTTTTTGTTGGGGTCGCCATTGGCGTATCGCAATTTTCTCGTATTATGGCCGTTTCTTCTTCTTCGCTGCAAGTTGTTGTTGTTTTTGTTGTTGGCATGACTACTACAATTACTACTATAAATCGAATATAAATATATCGACGAAGGCGGGGGCGGTGCTGTGGGCGTGTCCCTGCAGCTGCTGGCGTCCTTTATTGTTGTTGTTGTTTTTTAGAGCCTTAACATTATCCTCCTCCATTTTATATGGGTTGATGAAATCCTAAGAGAATACCGCTTGCCAACAAATTAGTAGCACTTGCACATTATCGCGTTTATTTTGGGTTTCTTTGCAAAAAACTGTGTAAATTCTTGGCCACACAACTGTGTGAGTTTTGTGTAAAAATGCACAAAAAAAAACGCACGAAGCCGATTGCGAGGGTGGGAGCGGGATGGCGACAGACGAGCGAGTCAAGGGCCTCACAAATATACTAAAGAAGCCAACAACCCAAACAACACACTTGCACAACCCTAAGTCAGTCAAAAGCAAGGCCAAATAGTCACTAATATTAAGCAAATTACTTAATTAACAAGCACTTTTTGTTTAAAATGTTTTGCAGACAGTGGTAGTGTGACCGTAGCCTTTAGGGCCAAGCTAAAATACCGAAACATACCATAAGTGACAGCGATATATCGATAGCACACAGCGTTGCCAGCGATAAGAAGGCAGTTCTGGTAACTCTGCCGTCCATCAGCCTTGCCAGATCAGCGGACAAGGTACATTTGAATTTGAAAATAACGATCTGACAATTATGCAACATAGTAGCTGGTCGGTGATATTTCAAACATCCGGATCATCAACAGATAAAAATTGTTCCGTTAAAACATTCCGGCAGCAACACGTTAAGTTGTGCGCTAACAACCAGACAAACAAATTGCACCGTTTTGTGCGGACGCACCAGACTTGGGCAAAAAGTC